CCATGGGAGCTTCAGGGGGCTTCAGCCTGCTCTGGGGATGGTGGCATGCTGTCCTGCTATGTTGGCTGAAGGCCCTGGGGACAGGAAGACAGGGAGCAGGGCTGCCAGCAAGGCTCTGGGTCTTTGGGGCAGGCAGACAGGGGCAGGACTCTGTGAAACATGGTTTTGTAGATGCTTTGCTCAGGCTCGCCTGAGAAGGAAAGTCCAGGGCACCCCCTCAGATGGTCTCCATCAGCGGGGCAGGGGGGGGGTTTCCTCCCAGAGCCCTGATGCCCAAGGGCCTGGCAGGACGGGCAAGGTGCCCAGCTCCTGCAGCATGGCTTTTATGTATATGTGCGTGTGAGTATGTATGTATATACTTCTGTATATATGTGTGTGAATGTGTATATACTCCTGCATATGTGTGTATATAGTGTGTGTGAGTATGTATATATACACACACATATAAAACATACACACGTTAAAAATCCACATTTCAGGACAGAAGAGTATACAAACTGAAAGACAAACCTATTTCAACTCTGAATCTCCCTTCCCACCCTTAGCATTAGCCACAGTTTAGTTTTACGTGTGCACCCTTCCATCAATTAGAATTGGTGAGTTAGAAGAGAAAGCCCTATGGACTGGGGTCCCTGTGAGGTGAAGTCCGACGTCTGCATTAAGCAGCCAGCACTGTCCAGGACCCAGGGACAGCATTGTACTTGGGCCCGTCTCCTCACCTGGGACGTGGTGACATGGCACCTGATCCTCCACTGACCTCCCTCCCCCCAGGCTGCACTGAGTGACCAGCCCAAGGACACTGGGAATTTCCCTGGACCCCACTGGGCTACAACTGTGCTGACAGAAGCATCACCATCAGACTCCCAGGTGGTCAGAGGTGGCTGGAGACAAGGGGCATGGCATCTGCTTGGAGTCTCAGCCTCCTGGGCATCCAAGGAGGGCGAGGCCTTCTCTGTCCTCACATGGGACACACACTCTCCTGGAAATCCTCCGTCCCATGTTTCCCTGGGGTCTCTATTACCCGAAGCCTCTCAAGAATGTCACCTTTGGGCTGGGTCACCTCCCATTTATCCATTCCCCCACACTCCTGGCAGAAAGCTGGGGTCACAGGAGGGGCTGGATAAATAGCTGCTCATTACGAATCTCAGGCATGGAGTACCCAGATACAGGGGTGGCAGGGTGGGTGTGGAGGGCAGAGCTGTGCAGGACCCAGCAGTCTGGCAGGTCAGTGGAGCAGAAGGGAAATGCCAGGCCTGGTCTGTGTGCGTGGGGGTGGGGTGAGGAGCACTGAGGCCAGGGGGCAGGGTACCAAGACCACAAGTGGTCCCAAAGGAACAAAGTGTGGGATTCCCTGCTCCAAAACGGCCGCATCTAACCTGGGATCCAGACTGAGACCAACCAAGGTGCCTGCTGCTGCTTTTTTATCAAAACTCAGGCATTTGGCTAATGACTCCTAAAAAAAGACCACCCACTTTTGGGTACATTCCATGAAGGGCTGCAACCAGCAGGTCTGGTGTGTGGGAGTCTCCCTGGACTGAACCCTCCTGGTAATCCTCTCTGGGGATTAGGCCAGGGAGGGGTTCGCTCCTCAGCCTCCTCCCTCCCAGGACTCAGTTCCAAAGTGTACAGGAAGCTAGTCTGCCAGGAAGTAAGTGCTCACTGACACTGGTACAGGGACTTCAGAAATGGGGAAACTTCAGAGCTGGAGGTGGGATGCACTCACACCCGCGGGCTTCAGCGGGAAGTACCCAAAATCTAGGTGGTATAAAACCGCTTCATGATTTCAGAAGCAACAACTCACCATGTGACTATCCAATATTATCTTTTTCATGGTTTTCAAATCTTACTGTGTTGTTTTCTGTCCAAAGAGATGTTTAAGCTCCTTGCTAAATCTGCAGTTAAATGACAGATGGACCGGTATTAATCCAGACACGCAATGGTTCTTTCCTGGCAGCAAATTCTAGCAGGTAAATGCAGGTGCCCTTACTGGTTTATCTTAACCAGAATCAGGTGCGTTTCTGAGCACTCGCTGTCTCAGTCATTGCCGGATCCATTTATTTATTGATTTGGGAGACAGGCTTTCTTTGCTTGGATAGTCCAATTCACTCTGTGCAAACTTTACCCTAAAATACAGTAGATAAAGGTAAAAGGCTTGGCAGACAGAGCACTGCTTGATGAAGAGCAAAATATGTCTGCTGAGCGGGACTTTTGGAACTTGGAGACCACTGAGGAGCTACACACCCTCAGCCACACACTGCAGACATCTGAGTAGCAGCGATGACTTTGTTACAAGCACACATGATTATTCTGACTATGGTCTCTGCATTGTGACAAGGTGTACACTAAGTATCCCACCCACCTGCTCCTTTTCTGAGTATCACCCAGATGCTGCCTGCCAATATCTAAAACCAGGATCTGTAAGCTGTCTCAGGGAATAACAGCCCATAGGCACTGCTCCAAACCTCCAACTTACAATCTATGACCCCTGCAGGAGGGGAGCTGGGGATTTCTGACTCTGCTCTGACATCTTCCCCTTTCACTTGTTTATTCATTCAACAACTAGCCCAGTCTCTGCAATGGACCTCACCCACCTGGGCAGTGAGCATAGTTTGGGACAGAACAGGCTGGGGAGAGAGGGCTGCAAATGTGACAGGGATGTGGAGGTGGCCTTCTGGGAACCTCCAGGGAAGAGGGAGCTTCTTCCTGGAGGTGATATTTCCCCAAGAGGGAGGAGCAGAGAGGCAGGGAGAGAGTGGGCAAGATGAGAGAGGGAGCCCTCAGGCAGCTGGTGCCAAAGCCTGGGGGTGGAGCAGGGCCCAGAAGGGACCTTGGAAACCACCTGAACGCTCTCTTGGTCCCCAGGGTACCTCAGAGGGTTCTAAGCAGCAGAGCAGTGGGAGGAGGAACACCCCTTGAACCACAGGAGTTGGGGGGGCACCAGGCCTGGTGGGTGGGAGCCCATTTAGGAGCACAGAGGAAGTGACTGTGTCTTAACCCCCTAGCATGCTGGGCACAGCACCTAGTAGGTAATGAGTATGGGGCTCCAAGTGAAAGAGGCACTGGCAGAGCACATGGTAGGTAGATACTGGTGTCTGGCTCTGGACACACAGAGGGACAGGGACCAGGAGCCAACTGGGGACAACCTTGCCCTTCTCTATCTCCAGAAGGGAAACCACCCTCTCCATTCTCTTCTCAATCTCTGCCCAGTTTCCTCTGCCACCCATGCCAACCAAACCCACCAAGAAGGCACTTCAAGAAAAGGCAAGAGTCCTGGAAAATGACAGCTTTAGACTGACTTCAAGAATTTTCACTTTGGCATTATTTCAGATGAATTACTTTACACTTTAAAAAATTCTCAATGTCCCGCCCAGAAGTTTTGTCATAATTGGAAATATACTCCTCACCAACTGGACAACCACTGAAGTCCCAAATCTGCTCCTGCTTCTGCGTAGGGTTCTGGAGTGAGAAGAAAGGCTGCCCTGCGAAAGATCTTACAGAAACCCAAACACCCGCATAACCAGAGGCAGCGCCTGGGACCCACGCAGCCAGAATCCATTCCACCAGGTCAGAGACCGCGCGAAAGGAACAAGTGTGGAGGCCCCACTGCCTCCTGCAGCCACCACCCCTCAGCCAGGACCAGGGGNCCACGCAGCCAGAATCCATTCCACCAGGTCACCCCACAGACGAAACCAGGTAGAAGCCAGCCGCACCCGCTCCCCCCAGGCTGGAAGGGAATACAATCGATCCTGGTTATGGACTAACCCCCAGGGAGCGTCTCTTGCACTCCCCAGGACACAGCTTGCAAGCACAGAGGCGCGAATTCTCCTGCTGCTCTTCTTCAGGGGGACCCCATACAGCCTGCGCCCCACTATCTCTGGCACTGACTCAAATGATCACCTAGGTCCCCACACAGGAAGCTCATCAAGGGACAGTCACATCCAGGAGGGTGCACTCCGGCCCCGCGCAGGGCCTGCGAGCCGCGGCCCTGGACAACCGGCCCAGGGACCGAGCTGCACGGACCGAGCGGGGGTGATGGGGCGGGAAGCAGGGCAGGGGTGCGGAGATCAGGAAAAGGGGTGCGGAGATCAGAGAAAGAGGGTGCAGGGCCAGGTTCGGGGTGCGGGGGGCCGGGGAAAGGGGAGGAGCCGAGTTTGGGGC